GGGGAAGAAGCCTGTGCCACCACCTGCCCTTAGAAGTAGAAAAAAGTAATACAAGTTCCCATAATCAACAAGGCTAACCCAAGACACTTTGCCTTCCCCCATGCTAAGGTCAATATACTGAAACGTTTTGCTGCTCTATTCAGAGGTCAGTCCCTTCCTTAATTTATTCCAGCCCCCAGCTTTTGTCATTTATGGTGCCACCAAAAACAGATTGCTTAACCCTAATTCATGCAAAGCAAGCCTTGAATGTACTAGAAAGCTAGTTTAGTATAGTAATTATGAGCCTGCACTATGAGATGCACAAGATAAAACGTTTGTGAGGGGTATATTCTTTAGGACGCCCATTCTGTACCATGTCTCTATATCAAGCACCCTCAAACTGGCCTTAGATTTTGATCCCTGGATAGCGTGTTTTTAACATTGGAATATACATTAATTATATTTAATATGTATTAATTTTAATCCAATTTATTTTTTTAAGTTAACATACGTTTTAAGGCACTGTGTAAGTGCCACATATAAGCTGCCTTGAGTCCCCCTTGGGATAGAGAAAGGCAGGATATAAAGAAGGTAAATAAAAAAAATAACTTAGGCTATCCCTCGTAGCCCAAGATGATGGTCCTCCAAGTCTGGTGTCTTGGCAGTGGGTCCGTAGGTGGCTGTGGAGCCCTATTCTTGGTCCGCATGTTCTCTCGTAGTGAGGACATCAGTTTCTAGGTGGAAGGCGGTTCCAGTCAGGGTTGGCTTGGGGCACCTTCCTCTTGGCACATTTCTCCCTTTTGCCCTCCATTGCAGCATTGTTGGTCACAGCTGACCTCCAGTAAGATCGCCCAAGGGCCAGGACTTCCCAGTTCTTGGTGTCTATGCCACAGTTTTTAAGGTTGGCTTTGAGCCCATCTATAACAGATAAATAAAGAAATAAACTGAAGTCCACCAGTTATTTGGGCCTCCAAATCCCAGAATTCCTGACCATTGAACAAGCTGGTGGCTAGGGCTTCTGGGAGTTGGAGGCCCAAACAGCTGGAGGGCTACAGTTTGAGGATGCCTTCTTTGTATCATCCCTGATGGTTACATTTTTAGCCTGAATAAAATGAAATGTGGATAATTTATTTCCCAGCTCATGAGAAGCTTAGTTCCTCCTTCACCCCACTTCTCTGCAATTTTATCTTCACAAACATCAGAGTCAGTTAGGCTGTCTTAACTTCCATGATTGACACAAAGTCACACTGTGAGCCTTTTAGTTGGGAAAGGATTTGAAGCCAGGTTTTGTAGCTTCTAGTCCAAGCACTAACCCATACTTTTCCTCATTGTTTCCCTTTGAGATAATAAACACTTCATGATAAAGAAGATGTATTTCTTGTTCACTTGTTTATAAAAATAATCCTTACAAACAGGAAAGTAGCACAACAAAAGGCAAGGTAGGCTCAAAGATTTCTTCCTGAACTATTAATTTTCTATTTGCAAATATGTTATTATTGTGTTTAAATGTAGGTGAACATTCCAAAATGAGATAGCCCACCTGTAGGCTGATATGGTACAGGGCCAGCAATCACCTTGGTATTCTTCCACTTCATGCTTATCCTGCTACATTGTGCATCTATCATTAAAAACAGAATAAAATAATGTATGTGTGTATGTGGTACATTTTTTCAGATTGTTGCAGGATTCTCAGAGAAGTCAAATTATGCAAGCATTTAAATATTTACTTTCTTTAATCCTTTCTCCATAAGTAGGACCATTTATATCAACATTTCAACACTGGTACAAATAGCACACATTCCAGACGCACTGGAAGCGGTTTATTTATTTCAAACATTTGTACCCCGTCCTTCTCAACCCCCAAGGAGAGATTCAGTGCAGCTTACAACCGGCAACAATTTGATGCTGACACATACAAAACACAATACAACACGACATTACACAATAGATAAAAACATTAGGTTTAAAATCCATTTAAAACATTATTATTAACCATATAGCCATACCCAAGTCCGATTCAGTGACCAATGATCCAGTCCAAAGTCTGTCCATAGTCAGATCTCAAAAACATTATGATTGCTGTCAAGCCTGCTACCCGAATGCCTGATCCCAAAACTATGATTTGAGATTGTTCCTAAAGGAAAGGAGGGATGGAACTGACCTAATTTTGCTGGGGAGCTTGTTCCACAGGCAGGGGACCACCACCAAGAAGGCCCTGTCTCTCGTCCCCACCAAACATGTTTGCAAAGAAGGTGGGATCGAGAGCAGGGCCTTCCCAGACAATCTTAGACTCCGAGGCAGACAAGTAAGCTGAGCCAGAACCATATAGGGCTTTATAGGCCAAGATCAGCACTTTGAATTGTGCTCGGAAGTAGATTGGCAGCCAGTGGAGCTAACACAACCGGGGGGGTGGGTGGTGGTATGCTCCCTGTATATCACTCCAGTGAGTAATCTGGCTGCCACCCGTTGGACTAATTGGAGTTTCCAAACAGTCTTCAAAGGCAACCCTACATAGAGTGCATTGCAGTAATCTATTCGGGATGTAACAAGGGCATGGACCACCAATGGGCAGATCAGACTTCCCAAGGTACAGGTGCAGCTGGCACACTAGTTTTAACTGTGCAAAAGCTCCCCTGACCATCCCCGAGACTTGGGTTTCCAGGCTCAGCGATGAATCCAAGATCACTCCCAAGCTGCGAACTTGAGTTTTCAGGGGGAGTGTAACCCCATCCAACACATGAAGCTGTACAGGACGTAAATTGAGACCTGTTGGTAGATCTCATTGTCATCATGAATGAATTCTGAATTCCAGTTGTGTAACAAAAACCAAAAACAGATCTGTACTTCTGGGGTCAAATTAGTTGTGATATTAAGACTGCAATCTTACTAGAAAATGAACTCCACCAAACTCAATAGGGCTTACTTTTGAGTGAATGGGTGTAGAAATGTACTGTCAATGTGCTATCACTGTGCCTAGTTTTTGCTTCTAAATCACAGCGGTGAAAGGGGCAATCAGAACTGAGGTTGTGACCGATAGAGGAGTTAACTACCATTTTCCCAAAGGATCCTGCCCTCTTTTCTCTGCTGGAGGCAAGCTTCCATTGGCATGTATGGAAAATTAAGGGAATATAATGAAAACACATTATCCAAATGAAAATCCTCTTTCACAGTAAACCCACTTCATGCATTTGCAAGACTATGTGAAAGTTCAAACATAGGACGTACAAATGAGCCTTTCCCAACATATCCAAAAGTGCCTTTCCCTGATCCTTCAATTCTTGACCTTTCTGTACAGAGCTAAATACCTGAAGCAGCAAACTAGTCAAGATCAAGAAAAAAAATGGTAGCAACACTATATGCAGCCCCAAACCCCCACCCATGATAAACAGTCTTCCAAAGACCAGAAAAAGTTTTAAATTGGTGACAATCCTGGCATAGGCTTACAAAGTCATGTTGGATATGATAATTCAGAGCAAATGAGTTAAAGAAGCTGTATGTTTTCTTGACTTTACAGACAGAGATGCATGTATTCTTGCCTTATTAGTTCACAAACATGTTTTGCTGAATGCATATATGTCTAGATGCTTTTCCACAGGGTGACAAATTGTCATCACCCAGTCTATGGCATTATCTCATCACATTTCAGTAAGATAATGCCATCAGGTTTTCATATTCTACATTGTGGTAAGAAACACAGATACAGTTCAGACTACAGTGCTTAACTTTAGTGTTTTAGAACAAATAAAAAGAAGTTATACCGTTCTACAACAGGGAGGTTATAAGGTTACTGTATAAAACTGTATTTTTAGACAGCTTGATTGCAAAGAAAATACGTTTTTGTTTAAAAAAAATTGCAATGCTAGTTCATTGTGACCCTGTGAACTCATCTTTTTAATTGGTCCCTCAGACATTCTGACAGCTTATACGTTAGGGTGCCCTTTAAAATTTGATGTGACTGTGTATCCATGGATTTATCCAAATATACACAATGAAAGTTAAATGTTGAAGGTTGCTTGTGTGGATATCTTAGCTTTTCATGATATATTAGCATGCGTAGCACCAAACCCCCAGTGGCACAGTGGGTTAAACCGCTGAGCTGCTAAATTTGCTAACTGAAAGGTCACAGGTTCGAATCCAGCTTCTGCCAACCTAGCACTTGAAAACATGTAAATATGAGTAGATCATTAGGTACCACTACGGTGGGAAGATAACGGCATTCCATGCATTCATGCTGGCCACATGACCTTGGAGGTGTCTACGGACAACGCTGGCTCTTCAACTTAGAAATGGAGATGAGCACCAACCCCCAGAGTTGGACACGACTGGACTTAATGTGAGGGGAAAACCTTTACCTGGCACCAAACCAGGTTGCTAAAATGCAACATCTTTGGGACAAAAAAACGAGGTCCAAACTTTTGTGGTAAGGAACTACTTTTTAAAAAATCTCACCAAGCACAAGGGTGAAGCAGCATGTTCTGTTTTTGCCTCCTTCCACATCCCCTTTGCTGGAGCTTCAAGAGTGAGGGTAGTGAACAGGAGTGAGTATAGACCAGGCATGGGCAAACTTGGGCCCTCCTGTTAGGAATTGTGGGAGTTGAAATCCAAAACACCTGGAGGGCCCAAAGCAGAAAGACAATATATCCTGCTGTTAGCCCCAGCTTCTGCCAACCTAGCAGTTCGAAAACATGCAAATGTGAGTAGATTGTCTGTCTTGTCTCTCTTGTCATATAGCTGATTTTGTAATTATGGTTTGACTCCTCTCCACTACCAAGAAAAACATTTTTAAAGGTCTTACACCCTTGTAGAGAAAATAAAGACCCACTCCTGCAGGATTAAAAATAGCATTCTAGATAGGATTTTTTCTTTCTCCTCTTCCAGGTTGTGGTTTTGGATAAACGTGATCATGCAGTTTATAAAGATGCCATTTTCTGGGCATCACATTTCAAAATGTAATGTCTAAACCTTCAGAGAAGGGACAAAACATTTCAAAGCAAACTTCTTTCTTAAAATGTATTTCCCAGTTGTGAATCAAGATGGCCAACCATTGATTGAAGGCAAGTTGAAAGAAAAGCAAATCCGATGGAAGTTCATCAAAAGGTGGAAGACACGGTATTTCACTCTCGCAGGCAACCAACTTCTCTTTCGCAAAGGAAAGTCTGTAAGTTGCTGGGGAATGTTATTTTATTTCAAAGTGTTTTTTTATATAAGACTCTAAATAATTCAGTGAAAACTTTCTCTATCTCACATCTAAAACATACAAGGATTGTGCAAAAGCTTGTGCATGAGTGTATGCCTTCAAGTGTCCTGTTGACTTATGATGACCAAATGAATTTCAGAGTTTTCTTAGCCAAGGAATATTCAGAGGTGATTTGCCTTTTCCTTCCCCTGAAATATAGCCCACATCACCTGGTATTCCTTGGCAGTCCCCCATCCATGTACTAACCAAGGATTGTCTTATTTAGTTTTCAAGATCAGACATCTAAATGGCAGCTGATGTCTTTAGGGCATTGCAAAAAAGTACTAAATATGAATTACTAATGGTGAGTCCATTCTTATACCCATCAGCATTTCCTTCCATGCCCAAATTAGGTTACTTGAAAAGACAATTTGAACACAAACTATGAATTTGTTTGTAAAATAATGTATGATCATGTTCTGGTTCTGACTTGTGGGTTTGGTTCTGGCTCTGATCACAAATTCCTCAGTTATTCATGCATTCAAAGGCACTATGCTATGTAACTGATATTGCTCCATTTGGTGAGCCTCTTTTTTTTTTTAAAACCATTAAATAATGTATTCCCACCTATGACTCCTCCTATTAACAGCTAAGTGCCCTTCTAGAATATGTTGAACTTTTTAAATCAAATTTCTTGTAATCTAGTCATGGCATAAATGTTTGGCTTTGCACAATGATTCTCTGTGATGGAAAGTAATAAAATCTGATTTTCTATTAGAATAGGAAGCACATTAAAGCACTTCTAGTCCCAATAAATAAATCACAAATACTATGAGTTTGTAAATGATCTCATTTATTCATTAAAGAGATCAGTATCTTTTTGGCAATCAAGTGAATTTGGAAGGAATTGCTGGACAACCCATTTTGCAGAATCAGACAATTTTAAAAGAGAGAACCGGAAGGTGAGGAGAGAAATCTGACTTTCTTTTAGATTAACAATATTCTTAGCATCCGTTTTCTACAAGAAGCAACAGACAAGACTTTAGCCATAGCTATTAAAGCCTCATTATAATTTTCTAAATGTAGATGTCAATTGGTGTGGTGACATCCCTTCTAAAGGTCCTACTTGATCACCATTACTCAGCCCTTTGATCCAAGTCAGAAATAAGGTACATGCACTCAATAATGTGATGTTTTTGAAATGACAGCAGCTGTGGACCCATCCACTTGTTAAAAGTTTGTATTCAATAGGTAATGTTTGTTTACTATGTTGTATCCAACAAGGAATCAAAGAAATCTTAAAGCCTCAAACAAAGTATCACAGGTGCAAAGACATGATGATGATTTCATTAATTTATTTTATATCCTGTTTCTCCTCTAAATGGAACCCAAAGATAATCAAGTAAGAACAAAGTGCATGCATTAAAAAGAAATAGTAAAAGGTTAAAACAAAAATAAGATACCATATTAAAGTATCCAGATCAAAATTCTTTATCTGCTATTTATCTACTGAAGTTTCATAGCTATGTAGTTTCTCCCAGCCTGGCTCAATACAATCCTCATTTACAAACCCCTATTGATCACTGCAGCCGCTGCCTAGTAAATAGGAATTGGTAAATTTTCGTGTTCCTTATGTGTTCTCTAAAATAAAATAATAATAATATGCTTTTATTTATACCCTACCTCCATCTCCCATAGAGACTTAGAGCGGCTTATAAAATAGCACACAATAGTGCCATGACATATACGATACAACAATATATCAAATCAGAATGCAATAGATAAAACTAACATATAAAGTTAATAAAAGTAATCTCAGTTAGATAAAGGCAGTGAAATGGTCGTAGCTATAATTAAAATATCCATACAACAGTTCAGCATCTCAACTGTATAGTAAATATGTAAGGGTCATAAATGTGAACCAACCACAAATGCACAATTCTAAGGGCCCTTCCATACAGCCATATAACTCAGAATATCAAGGCAGAAAATCCCACAATATCTGCTTTGAACTGGGTTATCTGAGTCCACACTGCCATATATTCCAGTTCAAAGCAGAAAATGTGGGATTTTATTCAGCTGTGTGGAAGGGGCCTAGGTAATATATTCATAGGCGTTGGTCCTTTTTCTAAAGATTAATTCTTGGTCTTGGGGATTTGAACACTGGGTGGCTCTGAACAAATCACATTCTTTTAGCTTCAGAGTATGGGAAAAACAGGCCCCCTCTGAACAAAGCAAGTGATTAGGGTTGCCATGATACAGATATGACTTGAAGGCAACAAGAAATTTCCTATAGGATGTGTCAGAATGTGAGTCAATTTTCACACAATATCACCATGATAAATATAGCATGACTTTGGTTTTTAAGGAACACTGGTAAAAAAAATTACTAGTGAATCAAGACCACATCTCCTCTCAATGTAATGTGATTCTAATCATATGGGGGATTAGCTAAAGTGTTGGTTCACAGAAGACAGTAACAGGCAGGTCTCTTTCTCTCCCCCCCCCCCCCCAATAATTTATCTGGGTGTTACATGCTCACCGTAAATTAACCATGACTCTAAGTTTGATTTCTTATATATTAACTACACCTCTCTTCCACAATTTGTTTTAACAGAGTTGAGTGGCAAAAGGGTCATTACAGGTGAATTAGACTAGAGGTCTGCTAGATATGTCTCTGTGCCAGATTGTCTCTGAAAATGAACAGAACACTTCAGGGTCTAGGGTTATCAGTTAGGCATCTTTTGAATGCATTGAGACTGCTTAAAAACCAAGTAGGAAAATTGTCTAAATCCTACATTTCTGGACTCAGTTAGAGAGCTTTGTAACATATGTCCTGATGTTGAAAGGGAAAAAAACCTCATGAATTAGCCTATGCAAAAAATTTGATGTCATAGGAAGCAGCTATTCCTAAAAACTGGCTCCAGAGAAACTAATTATGTATTTAAGAGTGATCTCCCTATAGCATTTTAATTATATTGCCCACATTCTGTTCTCCACATTCATGGGCCCAATTCAATGTGTAGGTTATCATTTATAAAGCCCTACATGTTTTGGGTCCAGCCTATCTTCATGACCGCATCTCCCCCTATGAACCAGTGCGGGCCCTAAGATCTGGCAGGAAGGCTCTCCTCTCAGCCCCACCTCGATCTCAAGTGTGGTTGGTAGGGATGAGAGAGAGAGGGCCTTCTTGGTGGTGGCCCCCCAGCTCTGGAAGGCCCTTCCCAGGGAACTTAGGCAAGCCCCCACACTACAGCGCTTTAAGAAACAGCTAAAAACTTGGCTTTGTTCTGCAGGCCTTTGATAATGTTTAAGATTGCAGCCAGACCACTATCTTTAGCCAGGGAAGGCTAAATTGATTGCATGAATCTTTTAATTAACAACTATTGCCATATTTTATTGATTGTATTGCTCTTGTGTATTTTGTATGTTTGTTTTAAAATGTGTTATTTGTTTTAATGTTGTTATATTGCATTTTAGATGTTATACGGTACCATTATGTGCTTGTAAGGTGCCCCGAGTCCCCATGGGAGATGGTGGTGGGGTATAAATAAAAGATGATGGTTGTTGTTGTTGTGGTGGTGGTGGTGGTGGTGGTGGTGGTGGTGGTGGTGGTAGTGAGGAGTCCAAGACCCCCATAAAAGTAGAAAGACAGTGAATATAAGTTAGGAATGCTGAGATGTTTTTAATCTGAACATTTCTAGGTCCTCCACAATGTTTTATAGTCAACTTCCAACAGAAGCTGACTGGAGTGACCATCCAGCATGATTCTGGGGGCAATTTATGTTGGGAGCTGAGCATAGATCTGGAACATGGTCATACAGCCCAAAAAACTTACAAAACCCATTGACCATACATTGTTCTGTAGAATCTACAAATACCTACAGATAATATTTTTACATTGTGTGTGGGGCAATGATGGTAGCAAATGCAACAATCCACAAATAATCAAATCTATGCAAATTTATCTTGCAAATGTGGAGCAACAACTGTCTAGGTACTTCTATTGCTCTTATTTCTTTTTAATTGCTGTGGCTTCTCCTGAAATATCCTGGGACTTAAAGCTTGATAGAAATACTAAGAATGTTCTCCTAAACCTTCTCTTATAATTATACTCCCCTGCATTAATGGTAAGAAGAAAGTAGTTGTCCAGCTAGTTTTAATCCATGGCATGGATAAAAGAACCTGGTGAGAAAAAGTCATTTGGATCATCTGAAAGCCCTTTGTAATGCAATAATTAATTGTGCCTCTTCAGAAAGAGTCTTCAGCTCTATTTCTTCCTTCTTCATTTCTTATTCTATTTCAGAAAGATGACCCAGATGACTGTCCCATTGAGCTGAGCAAGGTCCAGAGTGTCAAAGTAGTGACCAAGAAGCGCAGAGATCGCAGCCTTCCTCGGGCCTTTGAAATCTTCACAGACAGCAAAACTTATGTTTTCAAGGCCAAGGATGAAAAGAACGCTGAGGAATGGCTCCAGTGCATTAATGTAGCAGTTGCACAAGCAAAAGAAAGAGAAAGCAGGGAGGCAACCACATACTTGTAAGAACTGTAAGCATGGTTGTGTTGCCTTTTGCCCTGTGGTGCAACTGGTCTTCATGAAGCCATTTCCCAGGAAGGATCCATTGCATCCCTTCCCATGGTCCTTTGAGCTACTACATAGGGAAAAAACTACTTCTTACCTGAAAGGACAGATAAAGAAAGCATGGATTTCCTGACTACGGTTCTTCTTGGGAGAATGAAAAAAGTGGAGCATGCACTTCTGTTTCTAAAGTATGACTGGATAATACATGCAATTGTGCCTAATACGGTGTTTGACTTATAGTTTATGTAGTGTGTGATACAAATGTGTCCCTTTGTGTGAACCTGAGGGCTATTTTGGCTGGGACTAAGCCATTTAGTTATTATCATCTTTACTGGTAAAAGACCTGCTATGTGGAAAGCCAAGTGGTCATAACCAGAAATATCATGAGATGAATTATAATTGTAAGCACAACTGCCATTGGAACTTCCTATCTTTTTTGGAGAGGAACAAGGAACTATCAGTTTCTCTTAATATATTGCCTTTTAATTCACACTGCCTTTTGGTGTATTTTGAATGGCTTTGTACATTGGTGTTAACTGCCAACAAGTTGATTTCAACTTAGAGCAACTTCATGAAGTTGAACTCTGGTCACCCTTTCTTCAACAGCCCTGCTCTGGTTTTATAGACTCAGAGCTGTTGCTTACCTGATTGAAAGTAGCTCTCTGAAATGTGGTCTTCCTCTTTTCCTACTGCCTTCTAAATTCCTAAACATTATGGTCTTTTCTAGAGAGTCATGTGTATGTAGCTGCAAATGAAATATTGGGATTCAGTCTGTTCTTATGAAAGTGGTATAATTTAACTGTTTAGATTATTTCTATGTTTCATTTTACAAAAACACTGGAGGTGAGACTGGAATTTCTGGACATTTCTCTTTCCTCTGTGATGTAGAGCATGCAAGATATCCCACCCCAGATATTATGATGACTCCAGCTAAGCTTAGAGAGAACAAAGAAGCCTAAAATAAGGTCCTTCATTCCTAATCATTGAGAAGTTTTAGCACGTTAACTGTACACTGTTGGGCATTGCAGATAATCATCCATTTTATGTACTGGACTCACAAAAAACTCATACATGAAATCTGACAAAAGCGGTATATGAATTGAAACTAGATAAAGCATTGGTCTTGCTCCTAAAAATCACAGCTGCAGTCTGGCTCTAGATATGTCTGTTTCAGTATTCAGAACATGCCCAAACATATCAACTGTGGCCAGTGATAAATCATGATGCAGAGGCACTCACCACAGTTGTTGTTCTGTACCTTCAGGTAATCTATGACTTATGATGACCCTCAGGTATATGTATCACAGGGTTTTCTGGGGCTGAGTATGTGTGACTCACTCAATGTAACTCAGTGGGTTTCCATGGCAGAAGACGACATCATCATACGGGGCTAAAATCGGCTGCATACACCGATCTAGCCCTGGGCACCCATGGAGCCAACCAGCTCTCATCAGACGATGTTTTGCCGGCTCCATGGACAAAGGAGGGTAGAACCAGCATGCTGCCACCATGACAACATGGGAGGCCATTAACTCTATGAGAGAAGCCACACACACTCCACGCATGCTCACACTTATGCTTCTCCCCATGTTATTGCCCTCCCATGGATCCAGATGATGCGAGGGAGGCTGGATGGGATGCCAGATTCCCCACATTCTACGGTGAAGCAAGTGCCACCACCCCCTTCCACTGGCCATCTGATGAGGAAGTAAGTGGGAAATCAAACCCTGGTCTCCAAAGTCAGTCTAACGCTGAAATCACTATACAACATTAGATCTTACTCATCACACTCCCAACAGCTAAAGGCCAAAAATGACAATAGGCCTAGCTGGCTGGGGTTTCTGGGAGTTGAGGTCCCAAAACACCTGGAGGTCCAAAGATTGTGAACCACTGGCCTAAAGCAGTGCCCCTCATACCTGACCATTGAAAAAGTCTTAGCACTTAGACTGTATGAGCCCCAAATCCATTACACCTCTAACTTGGTCTGACTTTGCAGATAATAATATGTTTTATGAACCCAGCCTCTGCTAAAATGCATGAGCTTAGAAATATTATGTTTAATTTATCTGGCATTTCATTAAGAAAGTTCAATGATAACACCACAAGGAGAATTCCCAAGACATAAAACTCTCTTATCCCTGCATCATGATTGTGATGTGGTCTGCAAGTTAATGGTCAGGCGTTTTTGCTCAGAAGCCTGACAAAATTGCCAAAATGTTGATGCTTTAAAGACTTCAAAAACGTTTTTTTACACAAGGTTGGTTTCAGGCTGGATTTTTGTTTGTGTGCTTTCCCTATGTGCTACACATCCTCTATTATTACTATGTTAATTAATTGCATTCTCAGCTCTATTATATTTACATTTTAAACCCTTTAGTCCCTATTCCCTATTAGAACAGAGTTGGAATAGGCATTAATGCATTTGCTCAAAGTTGGCCTCTCATAACTTTGTTTTTTCTACCTCCTTTGTTGCTATTGTCATTATTCTGATTTAGCTTGCAAACTGTAGACTTCTGACCTGTTTCCTCGTGTGATTTCTAAAGCACCATATGTAAAAAAAAATGATGATTATGACAATTTTTGTAGTATAAGGAAATTAAGTTAAGTTTTATGAATAATAAAATAGACATCTGCTTTCAAGGAGCTAATGATGTACACAGTATATGGGTGTATGGCTCAAAGGAGAAGGTAGGACCAGGAAGAGACAAATAGGAGAAGGATTCAATCTCAAAGGTGAACAAAAATATATTTTGTTGCACCTTTACAATGCTGAATAATTGTTCCTATTGTCCTACAATATTGTCAGAGCTTGCAATTAATTTAAGTAATGTTTTGTAAATAACATCACTTGAAACACGATTTTTTGAATAATTAGGGGCATAATGTGTCCTGTTTAGAAAATTATGTAGTAAAAAATAACCTTTCGTTCTTTTTGTAATGGAATGAATATTTATTTCCTCATTATCTCATTATTTCAGCGAGAACCTTTGGAGAGACATTTTGAATGATTTGCATCCTTACCTCATCCCCTCACAATTTAAAATATCCCTTTCCCTTCCTTATAGATAAATAACATAGAATCATAGAGTTGAAGGAAGCCTCATTGCATTGGTGCAACCTCTTGCTCAGTGCAAGATCTCCAGCTAAAACATCCCCAACAGGTATTTGTCTGGCTCAGTGGTTCTCAACCTGGGGTCCCCAGATGTTTTTTGCCTTCAACTCCCAGAAATCCTAACAGCTGGTAAACTGGCTGGGATTTCTGGGAGTTGTAGGCCAAAAACATCTGGGGACCCCAGGTTGAGAACCACTGGACTAGCTGCTTTTAGAAGACTGGGGTGCTGAACAATGGCTTCAAACTACAGGAAAGAAGGTTCCACCTGAACATGCAGAAGTACTTCCTAACTGTGAGAGTGTTCAGCAATGGAACTCTCTGCCTCGGAGTGTGGTGGAGGCTCCTTCTTTGGAGGCTTTTGAACAGAAGCTGGATGGTCATCTGTCATGGGTGCTTTGAATGTGGTTTTCCTTCTTCTTGGCAGGGGGTTGGACTGGATGGCCCAAGAGGTCTCTTCCAACTCTATGATTCTATGATTGTACATCAAGTGAAGGAGAAACCGCCACTGCTCCAGGCAACTGGTTCCATTGCCAAACCACTTTTACTGTCAAAGTATTTCTTCTAATATTCAATTGAAACCTAGCCTTCTGTAACTTCAGACCATTAGACCTGCTCCAACCCTTTGGGGCAGAGGAGAACACATGGGATGGGATAAGTAAAACAACCAGCAATGATATACTTGCATGAGCTTCAGTGTGAGATACTTAGCAATTACATCAACATTTTATGTGTTCATTGTACTTCTTTCTTGTGTCCTTAAACAATTCCTCTTCATATAGCATTCAATCTTATAGTTCCATGCACTTTTAAAGATTTCAATTCCTGGTGTATATCAATAGGGATATACATCAAACCTAGATCTATATGTAATTGCTAGTTCCACTTGAAGCAGATGGATGAAATTAGTGGAACCTACATAGGTTCCCACTGATACAGCTGGGTCTAACCACTGCATTTCAACCACAGATATTTTAGACTTTTGCATTAATCATGGCACAGAGAAAGTAATAGCACTTGTGTTCTTTTATTACTGTGTTTCAAATAAATACTAATTTCTTTTCATAATGAAGGAAGTGTTCATTTGTGTTTGTAATGTATATGTTGTACAAGCCAGCTGCAGGCTCTCCATCCCTAAAGCTCACTAAGCAAGTTTCATGGATGTAGTGTGGATAGCTTCATGACTTTTTTGAAGGCAAACGAAAGTGAAATTGAGTTAGGATCTGGAAGTTATTGCTGGCCCAGTTTTATGCTTTTAATATTGCAAGATTCTTAAGAACGTAATTGTTCTGGTGAGAGCTGTGGTTCAACATGTGGAAGATCTTAGTTTGAGGAAGGCTGATCTAAACAGACCACTTTCTCCAGTATACAAACACTCTCTATATCATAACTCAAAAGATTAAAAGAAAGAGGAAGATAACCAGGATTTTTCCAGGTTTTTTTTAAAAAAAACCTTCTGAGCCTGAGTGTCTACATTTATTTTGTTGAAGGTAGGCTTCATATCCCTAACATGTGGCTGAGCAACATCAGAAGGTGTAGCAAGACAGCCAGAGGGCAAAGATTATTCACAAGGAAGTACACAGAAAACTATAATTTTAAAGCACAGGATCCCAGGCAGGCATGTAGCCAGGGCGGGGGGGGGGGAGCTTGGGGGGCTTCAGCCCCCCCCCCCGAAATTCTCATGGTAGTTCGCGAAAAGGCCTTACTGGTGCATTATTTAAACTGTTATGTTTATTCATATCATGATCATATCACCATACTCAATATATCCCATATGCATGGGGGTATTGGGGTAATGATACAAAAGGTTTGCCAGGGTAGACCCTCTTTCACTCAGACTCAGCCCCCCTCCCCCAAATTCTAAATCCTGGCTACGGGCCTGATCCCAGGAATGTATATTCTGAGTGTAGAGCACAACAAAGGAACATGCTAGGAAGGGCACAACTATATCTGTTCTCCCCCTCTTGACTCCTGAAAATGGCCATTGTACTTTGAACTCAGTTTGCAGCATCTGAAGTTAACCAAGGACAAAGGAGGAAAGTGGCAGAATAAGAGAGAAACTGGGGATTTTCAAAAGCAGTGAGAAAATGGGACTTGCAGAGGATTAACCAGGACTGTCCCTGCCAAACAGTTGGGACGTATAAACCTCTATTTTACACATCTTGTGATAGGAATGTTACAAACCAAAGAATCTTTTTGTGCAAGGCTTGGTGAATTTCTTTAGTCACAGTCCTCTTGACTCTGGATACAAGCACAACTATAAACATATGCCTCGGTGTTATTATAAGTTCACGTTATACATTTGGCATTCACCAACAGGTTGATGGAAAGACCTGCCTCAGAGAGATGTTGTGTATCTTATTCCTGGTCTTCACAGTGTAATGAGAACAGGAAGCCATGCTAAATCACGTCACATGGTGTGTGACCAAGAACAAAACTCCTTATGAAACGCTCCCACGTCATGCGAGATTTGGAGAATTCAAACCAACAGGATATTTACAGATAAAGAGAGATAAAGTTAACAATGGCACTCACAATGTGAGCCAAGGAGGAAAAGGAAATTTGACGACCAACCGCAACAACTCCTTAACCAGATCCAGACTACCTTAGCAGCCTAGATACAATTTAGACAAAGAGTAAGGTTCTTAGAATTTGCAAAAAGGGAAGACGAAAGAAACATCACGGGTTTGGAAGTGTTCTAGAGTTTGTTCTGTTCTGCTGCAGTTCACTTTAGTAGGAATAAATCGCCATTTATTGTGGCTGTTTGGCAAGAGGGTTTTCTATATTTCTGATGAAAGCAGCTTCTGGTAAGAAAAACACTAGCCTTTGCAGAGTACCTTCCATCTTTGAAGTTCAGGGAAAGATACGTCATGTTTCCTGTTATGATAACTGCCTTCAGATGTCTGAATGACCACTGCTAAGAATCTCAAAAACAACTCTTTTCTCTTGCCATGGAGGCAAGAAAGGAGATAGGGTGCATGCACACTCTAGACAAAGAGACAATTCATGCCGCACATTATCATCTGGGAACATGTAGTTGACACAGAACATGTTCCAAACTTTCAGTCTGCTTACTAAAATGATAATTCAAGGTTCATAATTCCAGTAAGTTGAATAAGCCCTGACTCTTAATGCTGTCACAGTATTGGAGGCAGATACTCTTAGGCAACTTCACCAGGTCTGAAGAACAATTTGCCCCAGGACCATTCAAGGGACAAATGGATTGCCAATTTTTTTTTGGAAAATGGCATTCATTACCTTTTGGAAAGTGCCTTTTAACAAGAGCCAAAAACCCTTAAGAGTAGCATCTTCTCTTGTGGTATACAACCAGATATAGTTATGCAAGGCAACGTTTTTATGCCAGTGCATAAAACAGAGCTTTAGAATTGTTTTTCAGTGCCCAAAAATCTATACTCTCCCATAAAACAACTTGTTTTATATCATGCACTCAAGAGACAAGAATGAAGTATTGTCAAAGGCTTTCATGGCCAGAATCACTGGGTTGCTGTGAGTTTTCCAGGCTGTATGGCCATGTTCTAGAAGCATTCTCTCCTGATGTTTCGCCCACATCTATGGCAGGTATCCTCATAGGTTTTGCTCTTTTTTCTTAAACTGTTAATTAGGACAGGGGAAACTTAATCTAAATCACCATTCCAAAAAAGACAATCCAACCCTTTATTGACAATAGGAGCATAGTGTCTAAGTCCAGGGAAGTCATGCTACCCCTCTATTCTGCCTTGGTTAGACCACACCTGGAATATTGTGTCCAATTCTGGGCACCACAATTGAAGAGAGATATTGACAAGCTGGAATGTGTCCAGAGGAGGGCGACTAAAATGATCAAGGGTCTGGAGAACAAGCCCTATGAGGAGCGGCTTAAGGAGCTGGGCATGTTTAGCCTGAAGAAGAGAAGGCTGAGAGGAGATATGATAGCCATGTATAAATATGTGAGAGGAAGCCACAGGGAGGAGGGAGCAAGCTTGTTTTCTGCTTCCTTGGAGACTAGGACGCGGAACAATGGCTTCAAACTACAAGAGAGGAGATTCCATCTGAACATTAGGAAGAACTTCCTGACTGTGAGAGCCGTTCAGCAGTGGAACTCTCTGCCCCGGAGTGTGGTGGAGGCTCCTTCTTTGGAAGCTTTTAAACAGAGGCTGGATGGCCATCTGTCAGGGGTGATTTGAATGAAATATTCCTGCTTTTTGGCAGGTGGTTGGACTGGATGGCCCATGAGGTCTCTTCCATCTCTATGATTCTATGATTCTATGATTCTATGTGCAACAATCTTACTTGTAGCACTCTGCTTAGCTGCCATCAGCTGGATACAACAATTTCATGTCACCCAAAGGGGGGGGGGGGAAAAGAACACCTGCATGTATAGTGCAATGTAATGTCTGCATATGTCACTAAAAAGATGCTGACTATAGTCTGAAAGGCAGAAAAATCTGTATCCCAAAGACTGCATCACAACTGTAATGTCAATTTTGCAAAAATTCTACTTAGTGAAAGACTGGCCAGATTCAGATTCACAGCTACTGCAACACACCCAGTTCTTGTTTTGCATCCAGATTGCTTCTAAATCTGTTGGTGAATTCAGGAACTGGGACAACCACAACTTCTGTTCACATACAAAACCTGCTTTGGGCCTCTCCCCCTCCTTCCCGCACATACTGCAGCGAGTGAGACCTCAGTGGAACTGAATGGATGAAAAAAATATCTGTTTTGAGTCCTGAATCAGCAACAGATTTAAAAGGTCAAAGGGTAATTTTCCAGACAGCTTGGCAAGCCTCTTTGGGATCTTGAAACCCGATCCTAGGCATTCCAGAGTTGGAGAGTCAACATATAGCACTGGGTTGTTTTTTTTTTAAAAAAGGCTGTGACTTTTATTCTACTGATACTCAAATAAGGCAAGTGAGATGAAGGGCTGGAATTATGAACCATGGGCAGAATATACTGTTACGGGGGTATAGAAAATGGGCCAGTTCAAACTTTACTATACGTGATGCCCCACTTCACATTTTAAACCAAAAGTGGACAACTGCAGAAAGAAGTGAAAGGCATTCCCACATGGACTTTCTCCCACCCCTCACCTCCCCAAACACACGCACCCTTTGCAAGTCATGCTATTGTTTTGGGAACTGCCTCAAATATAGCTGGGGGTTGTTTTTGTTTTTGTTCTTTGACAGTTTGGGGTTTGGGATATGGTGGGGAAAGCAGAGGACAAGATGTTTACACTCAAGTCATATAAATTTCCTGGAATCCCAAAGTTTAAGAGAAGATGTTGAGTTGCCTAGAAGACAATAAATGCTGTGATTTACAACCTTGGGATCTTTGGTGACCAAAATGGAGATTTTTAATGTGCAAAGAATCTTCAGTCCTTCAAATGAGACAGAAGTAGGGAACCATGTCTGTTTCACACAGTGATACTTTGAGTGATTTCAAATCCCTATGGATGTGGGAAACTGTAGAACAAAATATTTGTTTTCTTTTATTCCAGTAGACTGTGTGTGAAACAGTACTTTTTTTTCCAATCCACTCTTTCTCCAAAGCTATCATCAGGCATCTTAAATCCTTCCTGCCAGTCTAAGTGTTATTGAAACAATGTGGAACATAAAACTGTGAAACTGAAGAGACTTGCTTCAGAGCCAAACATAATTGCATAAAATGAATAGCATAAGTTTGGTTCCCCTGTAGTCCATTATAGGTTGGAAGACAATCAAAGGGAAACTTCCTTGCCAGACTTTTTAGTTGCCCTTCTGGAAGAACATATATAAATGAATAAATAAAATAATAAACTTAAAAATTGGGATACAGAGGAAGTTGTCACATACACATACTCATGCAGAAATCTCCTACTGCTCCTGCATATTTTCCGTTTCAACTGTCAAATAAATCTTTATAGCTTTTGTTTTCCAAAGTGACATTCAAAATAATGTCTGTACTCTACGAAACTCATGTTACTTTTGTAATATAGCATTGATTTGATTACTTAGACTGATTCCATACTAGCCATTTAGTCTCAAGTGGAATCCTTCATTCATTCAAAATAATTCTTTACACAGAATCCAGATT